AACATGCACAGTTTCCAGTAAATATATCACAAATGTTTGACATACAACCACCTGAACAACTGTTCTCACAGATTGATCCGTAAAGACCACTTTTACAAAGTGAGCAAGTGTTAAAGGACGAACAGCGTACACAGGTGTCTCGACATTTGAACGTACAGTCGTTCAACAAAGTGAGGTTATTGCTGTCGTACTCACTGCGGTATACCGTACCCCGGATATTGCTCAATATTATGAGGACTTTCATCTTATTTCGCGACTCTGAACAGGGAACGAAGGTAAGTTCAGCGACGATATTATCCAAACTAATGGCTATTTCATTTATCTTACCGGGTTTTAATTTTCTAGAGGTATTTTTTGTAGTTCTAAAAGACATCAAAGTAAACCAGGTATTTGTCAAATTGATTAAACAACCCCTAAAAGATCGGCTGCTCACTAGAAAATATTGACCACGATACTTTAGAATCATCAGAAATGATTATTTTACAAAGATAAAAAAATTTTGAATCGAGCAATTTTTTTATTCATAATCCAAGTATGTTTAGTCCAAATTTCAGAAAAAAGGTATGAAAGTTAAAAATGATACAGGCCAGAAAAGATACAAAAAAGTGTACCGAGTATTGATTTTTAGTGTACAGGGTATTGCACATTAGCTCAACTTTAGTGTACAGAGTATTGCAAAACAGAATGTTTAAATTAGAATGAAAAATAGATATTTTTGTCTATTTTTAACGTCTATTTATCGATTTTGCCATTTTGTTCTCCTGACAATGTACTGTTAATGATATTTATTAAAATATTTCAGATTCAACAATGCAGTTCCATTGTTATTACTGTTCCCTTTCTACGAACAAGTACAGCGAAGTAATTTGCCACTTAATTGAAAACCACAACATGGATGAAATAAAGTTTAAGCGGGTAAATGAAGATGGGTTTAAAGTGTGTGCGTATAAAATAACGCCTGATCTTTGTCGAGAACAAGGTAGGACAATCAACATTGATGATAAACATCTTTCAATTCATGTCTCAAGAAGAGGTGTAATTCCTAAGGAAAGTCCAATGAAAAAAGTGATAAGACAAGATTCGACAGTTGATAATCGCTATTTTGAGCTGCTTGAAAATAAAAATATTGATGAATGTATTGACGAAGATTCCGATTACGAGGAACTTGTTAGCATCTTACCAGACGTAATTCAAAATTTAAAGGAATGCGATAGATATGAAGATTTCATGAGCTTCAACCGGTTGATTAGTGAGAGAAAGTTTCCATTGAGCAATATAGCATTTTTATTATTTTTAGACGTTGTTAGGTGGTTTACATTAGACAATACAACTTCAAAAATGCGATACAGTAACGAATGTAAAATGTTCTGGAGAACAGGCTATAAATTGTTTCATGGACGTTTCCTGCGATTTATGGGTGGACCAAAAAATCTTGGTCAAGTGCTTCAATCAGACAGTTCTTCTGGTAATCTTCAATCAAAAGATTCAAAAGTTAATTTCATTGTTCCGCATCGAAAACTTCTTCAGGAAGATATCAAAATGGTCTCTACTGACACTCCTGGAATCATAACAGACATGATCGATGATATATCTAAAAGCGACCCAGAACAGTTATTAACATATAAGATTTGTGTCGATGGAAAAAAGATCAATCCATGTTCAGTAGGTGAGGTAGATTTATGGGGACTTGAAGATTCACCAACATTGCAAGAGAAGAGGGAGCGGACAGAAAGCGAAATTAATATATATAATGCATATGTAAGGCAAATAGAAAGACAGATAGAAACAGGTAATTTATATGTAAGTGAGGCCACCTGCAATGTTAGCGAGAGCTGCTTGAGATCTGTACAGATACTTAGTAATAGAATCAAAGACTTGAGGCGGTTAAAAGTGAATAAAAATATCGCTCTGTCAAAATTACAGGACCAAATTGAAGGTGATTGGAGATCAAGTAAGTTTGCAATAGTTATAAGTAGTCTGCGAACAAGTGTGTACCAGATTGAAAATTGCATCGAGGACATGTTAAACATAAATGACAAGCTTTGCAAATATGCAGCTGCAGCAGCTTTAATTAAAGAAAATACATACAAATCGGAAAAAAATGTCGAACTTGCAAAACAAGCGAATTATGTTTGCCTAGGTGGTGGAAGTGATCAAACCATCGATACCCCACTTATTAAGCAACGATCTGAGGCATGGCATAAACTCCGTAAATCGTGTCTAGTCACTGGAAGTACCATAAATAAAGCGATAGGTTTAGATGGTCTGAAGCAACAAAGGTTACACATCGATGCTAAGTCTGGAAGGAAGGAAGCAGAGCCAGTGTCTGAAGATTTACAAAGGAAATTCGACTACGGGTCTAAGAATGAATTAAATGCTGTTGCTACGATGGTGTCAACTTTTCTACCGGCATTCGAACCGGGTGCTTTGTTTCATGAAGAAGGGTGTTACATACTTGAATACAATGGAAAGCCATGCCTTGTGATAAGTCCTGATGGTAGTATAAGGAGTGAGTCAAGAATAATTGCAGGAGTGGAAATCAAATGTCCAATTCCTGGGAAACTATACACCACTCAAATTCAGTACGATTTACCACATTACTATGTACCACAGGTACTCAGTGAAATGAGCTGTCTAAACGTAGAACAGCTATATTTTGTATCATACAGTCATGAATCCACTGCTGTTCACATCGTTGATTTCGACAGGACACTTTGGAATAACATTTTTGCCGAAGTTAATAGTCTTGACGCTAAAAATACCCCTAAGAATTTAAGTAAGAACCTGCCAATGTTGAAAGAAAACATTGAAAATTTCCGCAAATCAAACGTCAGATTAATTGCTGAGGTGAAATCTAAAACTGCAATACCATGTGTTCATCCAGATGAGCTTATAGGAATGATATATCACAGGACTGACAGCTATATTGATGAAGTCTTGATGATGTCAGAAGTTCAGAAAGCTTTAATTCGCGGAAAGGATGCAGTTAAAGCAAGCGATGAGCTGTGTTCTAGAAAAGCAAGTGAGGTACTTGTGTTCGTGCTAGCGGATCTCGATAGAATTCATAAGCCTGAAATACCAAGTTCGTTTCCAATTGCGTATGCATTCAAAGGGTATAGCATGAAAGCCACAATCATGAGAAGCATGATCGAAAAAGTTTTATACGAGTTATACATTAGAGGACTATACACACCAGTTGTGTCGTATGATGGACAATGGGCTGTTCTTGCAAACAGATCGAAGGATGGTACACCTTTAACCCTCATAGAACTTCAAAAGCATGTGTATAATCAGGTAAAAGGAAGACGAAAATCTGAAATGATTAAATCAATTTTTGCAACGGCAGTTGTGAAATCAGATGAAGTTGGTGATTTGGAAAATAAGATAAACTTCAGCTATGATAATGAAAGAAACGCGGTACAAGTGTACTTGAAGCATAACGTAAAGATTTTCCAACCATCAGTGCAAATAAAACACTTGCAAGAAAATGGCACCAAAAAGAAAGACAGGAAAGGAAAAGATACAAACAAAGAAGCCCAGGAAAATATTGAACCCGAAATATTGTCAATGGTCCCAAGTAAAGCTTTAGAGACTTTAGAAGAGGAAGACATGGAATTGTTGCAAGAAGTAAACGGAACTAGTAATTTAAATCAGACAAACCCAACACACCGGTTCAATCGGAATACTTTAAATTTGGCAGAAACATTCATAAGTGAATTGAATGAAAGCGACGAAATGTCACAGCTGAGTACGAGTGATGATATATCTGATAGGATAGAGCAAATGGAAATAGATGACAAAACTGAAGAATTTCTCAATACAATCTTAGATAAAAATGACATAGCAACAATGTTGAACAGTCTTCGAATAAATGAAAAGTCGAAAGCAAAATGGAAAACTATAACTGTAGAAGACTTTGAAAGCATTCTTGAAAACAGTGACAAAACAAAGGAAGAAATGACAAAGAATGAAATGATTATTTGTCTCAATTCAGTTGAAAATAGTTTGTTAAAAGTAAATTTGCGTTTTTGCAAATCTTGGAATAAGACTAAATTAAGTGACTTTATTCAAACAGTATTATGCCAAAGTTCTGTTGATCAGTCAAGAACCACAAAGAAAAAGCGGCATCGCAATCCTCAGAAGCTTTCAATACTGTGCAAACGAGTAATAAACCAAATGCCGAAGTCAATTTTGAACGCAGTCGTTGCCGAACATGAAATGTTAGATGAGATTAAACAATGGCGCTCAAATGGTCCTTTTACCACGGCTACTGAAGTTGGTACGAATAAAGTGTCGTGGTTTTCTCTACCAGAGTATAATTCTGAAACATTATCTTACATTTTTTCTTTTCTGGATGTACATCATCTTATTACAAACTGTCGAATAAAGATTTGCAAAGATGGATTGCCCGAAAGAGGTATCAATAAACAGGCTTGGATCGACGTTGCAAAGTCAAACACTACAAAACTGAAAATTCCACACGTTGAGGACTTGGTAGACAAACAAAGTGACGCTATAGCGCGTGCAACATTCTCAGAAGAAGTGCAAAATGCTATGAGCAGCCATTATCAAAAAGAAGCATACTTTTGTAAATTAGTTCGGGAATTTTATCAGGCGGAAGATGACCCTGGGCTCAGTGTTAATGAGAGGTTCCGACGACGGCTGGAATTTAGAAGATGGCTCCTTGAGGATGTCAATTTTTGTAAATTTCCGCCTTATGGATCTCACGTGCGAGGTATACCAATGGTAATGTTTCAGGGGTTTCTGACGAACATTGAACGACGCATTCAGTTATTTCCATACGTTAAATCGGGGCGATACAACGTAAGGGCCCTGGGAAGTCTAGAAGCAGAAAACCTTTTCGGTCAATTTCAGGACTTAGATCCAAAAGGCAGTGGCGTCATGAAATCAGAAGATATACCTACAGCATTAGAACATGCTTGTCAGTTGCTTAAAGTAAGACTTTTACCTGATCGACCATTCCACATGACACTCTCTCGAGCCAAGGTATATCCTTTGAATGAATTATTACATGAAAGTGGTGTGGATGACAGAGGGCACGAGGTGTACGTTTACCCAAGTCTAGTAGATCGAATATGTATGAGGTAAATCTTTTCTGTCCCCTTTAAGCTTTTTATTCTCTGACTGATTTTTGAAAGAAATTTGATGTCTTTGGAAGGCTTGCTTCTTCTCTCTTTTTGTTGTTTTCTTGTAAGGTTTATACATGTAAATACTAAACGCTGAAATTGTATCATGGTCCCATACTCGTCTGAACTCATGCAATGACTTTCACGCACAAGGATCATAACTTTGAATGTATAAATCTTGAACGCGATATTCATTGGTATGATAATAAAAACGCGAAATCACAAAAGTACTTTCGCAATATCGGTAGCGATTTGTCGTGTTATCATTACCATAATGCCGCAATATCACTATCTAACTGTTATGTTATCGAAATCGCACTGTTACGTTATCGGTATTGTATTATTACGTTATCGGTATCGCACTGTTACGTTATCGTACAATCGCGATATCAATTGCACTGTTACGTTATCAGAATTGAAATATAACGTTATCAGTATCGTACTGTCGCGATATCGGAATAGCACTGTTGCGTTATCGTATTGTTGTGATATCGGTATCATGTTGTAGCGTGGCCGGTATCTTACTTTCGCATTATCAGTATCGTTTTATCGGGGAATCACTATCGCACTGTCTAGTTATCAGTGTCGTTCTATTTCATTTAAATTATCACAATGTCCCACTATCATTGTCGTTCTGTCGCCGTATCATTGTCGCACTGTCGCTTTATTTGAATCGTTCTTTCTCGTTATCATTATTCTATTATAGCGTTATCAGTATCGTACTCTCACATGATCGGTATTAAACTGTCGCGTTATCGTTTTCATATTGTTGCGTTGTCGGTATCGTACTTTCGCGTAATCGATATTTCAGTAATTTGTATTATTCTGATTGAGATGAAAAGAACAATCATCGCTGAAATTTAATCGTTGAAATGAATCGTAAAATGATAATTTCGTTAATTCTGTCCACAGTGTGGTTAATGTGTACTGGTTTGTAAAGCAGACTTTACCTAGACTTTCATAATTAGACTCTGAATTAGACATTTTATTTCTACTAATTTTATCTTTTTATGCGCTTAGGCAAGTACGCGATAGCGTGATAATGACAACAAGACAGTGTAAAATATCGCGGCAATTGATAACGATAACGGGATTGTGCGATGATAATAATGATACAATGCGATGATAATAAAGGGACAACGCGATGATAATCACGGCACAGTGCGATGATAATACCGGGAATGATAATACGAACATTTTGATTATAATTACGAGACAGTACGACAATATAGTTGCGATAAAAAATCGAACTATCATCATCATACTGTCAAATATTGTTAAGTTTTCGTTATCGTTGTGTTCCGTCATCGTACTTACGTATTTTCAAGCTTTCCGCATAACAGAACAACACATTCAAAAATGATGAATTTTCGTAATTGCAGTATTGGCCATTTTCAGATTTTGATGTCTAAATCTAATTTTACATTTTATACGAATGTCAACCAATTTATTTCTTTTTTTCTCTCAGGGACCATTCCTTCGATGTTATTTCAAGGAGCAAACGTAAAGCGAGGCGACGACTGGTAGAGATAAAAGGACCAAACGAAGCTGCCAGAGGAGTGTCCGGAGTTCGTCAGCACCATAAATGCGACGAGAGCAAGATCTTGCCACATAAACGTTTGGGAATTGATATGGATATTTAAAGTTGGAAATAATATTAATATGCGACATTTGTTACCAACAATAATAAATGCCCTGCTATAATGCATTTTGTGAAATATATGTAATATGGGTATTGACACGGTATATACACAGTATGTGGTGTACAACGTTCTTCATTTCATGCGCCGTCACCTGAAATGCATGTTCTTAAAGTGTCTGAACTACTGGAAGATAACTAAAACATTTTGCCCGTCTTATTGAATGTTGAAAATCACATATTTCTTCTATAGTATGTATGCCAGATTGTCTAAATAAATTACAAGCCAAGTAATTTCCAATGTTTTCTTTTAGCTATTAATGGTACACAAATTACACCTTGTATATCCAGTAACGAAGGAATGTGCAAATAACGTAAAAGTAACGCCGAATCTGTGCAAAGATATTGCCATAAACACTTAAACTATAAGTAAACGAACCAAAATACACTGTAAGTAAACGAACTAAAATATTTTATTCTAAATTAAATTAAAAGAAATCAGTTAGCACATACACAATCTTTCGTCTGTTAGATAGGCCTAATGATTTCTAAAATGTATTATACATGTACTTACATGTAAATCAAGGTAAACGTAAACGATATGACATAGACAGGGCCAGTACCAGTTACGAAAATGGCGATAGACATTTTACTTTTTCAGTACATTTAGTCATTTTCATGGCGGATAAAATTACGGAAAATAAATAAATGTTATACATGTACATGTATTTCCATCGTATAGAAGAACAATTTGGCTGAAAACGATTAACACAATCGCGTTTAGTTTTCCAAAGTTTTATTTCAACAATTTAAAAAACAAAAACAAAACAAAAATCACACAAAAAAGAATGAAAGTCAATTTCAGTCATTACTTTGACAATATCATGTACCATCATTTATCACAAATCACGTGAATACGAAAAAATCAATATAGATAAAGAACAGTGCCCTCGACTATTCGATATGTTATAATAAAAATTAGAATAAGAAAAACGGCTTGCATATATAGAAGAACGTAGAACGTTTGATATCAATATTTTCATTATTAGACTTACAGTTTTCGGTTAATTTCTAGCAAACTGTCAGAACCGAAAATCAACTCTGAGTTATGGGTTTTTCTAATTTGAAGTATCCTTGTGGTAAAAAACTAGTGTAGAACATTCGACACTAAAACTATGAAATGATGTTGAAAAAGGCCTTCAAAATCTATACAAGAACATTTAATTTAGAAAATAGGAATTACACGAAGAAAAATCAAATAATTCTTCTTGCCATTAGAGGTCCCCATAAAAGCAATGGTAAATTCTTAGAAAAATTCTCTCGGGCAAAACCTGAACCAAGATTGTGGACAAAGAGACCGGTTTACTTGTGACTAAACAGCTCGCTATATTCTTCGAAATATTTATCACCATTTTCACCAGTAGAGCAAGACATATGTGTATATGAAATATATCAGAGAATTTAAAAAAATGTTGTATGTTAGAGACACACAGACTTCCAGTATTTACAGGAGATATACAAATCCATTTGGTTTCATGAAACCAACAGAATTTTAAAAAGTAAAATATTCAACTACCGTTGAGCATGTGAAAATAAATTGACTAGAACAAAAGCAAAAGTTAAATATTAAACATGATAAAGTTATGTACAGTATAATAATGCACCAAAGAGTTTTCTCCTGTTTTCTATGAACATAAAACTCGCATAACTTAAATAAAAGATTCAACTTGCGATGAACATGTGAAAAAATATTGACTAGAACATGTGCAAAATATGCTTCTCTTGCTTTTTATGAACATAAATAAATAAAAGATTACACTTACGATCACATTTGTAAAAATAATTGAAATAATCAATAAAATAATAAAATGAGCCATGTCATGACAAAACCAACATAATGGGTTTGCGACCAGCATGGATCCAGACCAGCCTGCGCATCCGCGCAGTCTGATCAGGGTTCATGCTGTTCGCTTACAGACCCTATAACAAGTTAAGAAACTGCTAGCGAACAGCATGGATCCTGATCAGACTGCGCGGATGCGCAGGCTGGTCTGGATCCATGCTGGTCGCAAACGCATTACGTTGGTTTTGTCGTGACACGGCTCAAATATGAGTAAAGATATCTTTAAAAGACGATGATCGAGCACGGTCAAGTTCCTTCTGTAGAAAGAAAGGCCCTGTCACGTGACTGGATGTAATCATGTGATTTCCTAGTGACAGATCCGTGATGGGGTCGAAAAGCCTTTCTAAATAATTTCAACATGGCACGAACCTCCATTCCAATTTTTTTTTTAGATTTGTTAAACAATATAATACGAACTAAAGAAAGTGTTTTCATGGGTTCAGTTATTTACAAAGCTGTTGGTGTTTCTTCAAGCAGGACCTCCATCTATATTTTTTCCCACAACGTGCGCAAACGTATCTTTCTGGACCATGCATTCCCTTTTGGTGACTTTTAAGTCTGTCTTTGCTTGCAAATTCTTTAAAGCAATCATCGCATGAGAACACTTCCCCTTTATGCCCCGGACTCTTCTCACAAGCAAGAACCTGGTGTCTCTTTAATGAGCTGTGGCCCTTTAGAGATTTTCCACATTTCTCACATTTTAAGATGGCAAATTCTAAATGTTGCGCACAGTGATGCTTAAACTGAATTGCTTGATTGAAGCCTTTGTCACAAACAGTGCATTTGTGCTTATAGATGTGTAGATGTTTATCTTTCGTGTGTAATTTCAATCCAAAAGCTGATATAAACTCTTTTCCACACTGGTCACACACGTGCTTCTTTTTTGATTTAGGCTCAGGTGTACTTGAATCTTTTGGCAGGCCAAATACAGTTTGGTGGACGCTTTTAACATGCCTGTCTAAATTGTATTTCTTATAAGTTGTGTACCTACAAATGTCACATTCAAAGACAGTTGGGAGGTTGTTTTCGTTCTTGTTTCGGTCCAAGCATTTTGTTGCTAGAAAGACTTCTGTGTCTTCACAGCCAACATCGAAACTGTGATCAGGCAGATCCATCTGTAAAAAGTAAAAAAAGCATATTTAGATGACATTAATTATTACTGGGCAAGTGTGCCTGAAGAAAGATATCGGCATACTTAGTAAATGCCGTCCAAATATGGCGGTATCGGCTTAAGGAACATTTGTCCTTTATTATAACTTTTCATTTGCATTTGCTGTCCTGTATCATAATCTTATCAAAAATCAGTTATTCGGGTTGAGACTGTAGTACCCGCTAGGCAGTCATAACTTATTGTCTATGATGTAACAAATTTAATAAACCGCATACAGACCGGCTACCCATTCCATAATTCATATATGGACTGGATGACGTCATATTAAATTAAATTAAAATAAAATATTTTCATTGTTAAATGATTCTTTTTACTGAATTTATTGCTATATTTCATATAAATTTATTACATGTTGACCCAAAGTCATGATTCGTCTTTAATTTAATTATAAATGTTATTTAAACAGTTTGTGAAATTCTTAAAGTACGGGTTTTTTTTTGCCTAGTAATATTAAATATTTAATTTGATTAACAAAAATGAAATATTAAAAGAAGAACATGATTATTTAGCTGCATCGCTTGAAAATAATAAAACAACGACTTGGGTTTGAGATATTCTACACACTGAACAAATAAAAATATTATTTGAAAGCAAATTATAGTAAAAATGATAACAACAAAAGGGATAAAAGGATTTAGATAAAACATGGCCTTGAGGGCAAAATGCAAGTTTACGGACTGGTTGGTTAGACCTCGAAAGGTATATGGTCATCAGCGCATATACCTTCCTCAGTCTGACCAAGCAGTCCGTAAACTTGCATATTGCCCTCAATGCATGTGTTTTTTGATATATTATACCGAATCCAAATCCTTTCAACCCTTTTGTTTTATTTGTTAAATAAATTCTGAAAAGGTTGATTCTCCTATAGCAACGATTACTTTGTTAACACAGAAAATTGCTGACTTTGTTCGATGTCTGAGTCTTTAAGAGTTTTGAGCAGGAATGAAAATCTCACTCCCTATGAATTATTAGAAGATGTTTCCAGTAATGTACCTCCGAACTCTGCATATTTTGCACATATAGTGTCTATAAGTATACACAATAAGAAATATTTAAGATTGAATGTGGTAAATTCTCTATGTTTACTTCTCGCATTTACTCGAAATTAATAACCAATACTCCTTACACTAAAAGCAATACTCGTGACACCGGCCAGCATTTCCAAAGCAATACTCGGTACACTGACATGTGTATTTATTCTCAAAATGCGCTGTCATATGCGATTCGTTTGCTAATTGAACATTTACAACATTATATTTATCATCGTTATCACATTTCATTCGATTCAAGTTTTTCTTTTAAGGTAGTATAGGCACAAAAACATCGAATTTGACTGATCCGAGCTCATTTATCACGTGAGCAAAGAGACGAATTTTACCTCCTAATTACATTTCAAAACTATTTCTCAACATTTATGGGTTTTCGTGGACTAGAGAAATTGTCGAAGTATTTGTTTTTCTATAAAATTTATATCAAACACATTCAAAATGACTAAATATCGTTGCTGAACTTACCTGTGTTCCCCGTTTAAAGTCGCGAAATATAATGAAAGTCCTCATTATATCGAGCAATATCCGGGGTACGGTATACCGCAGTGGTACTGGTAACCTTTATAATACCCATCCTTACACGATCCACAATTAGAATTCGACGAACACGTGACACATCTACCTGGGCATAAGCTAGAACAATTAAAACTGGTATCGTGATAGCCATCCTTGCACAAAATACACTGACCATTATCACAATTACAATTTTCAGGACAGTAACGATTACTACAATCTTTTCGACCATTGTCGTTATTATATTCCTCCCTGCATGATGTACACGTGGTTCCTGACGTGCATGTTTTACATCCGGGTAAACATTGTGATTTGCAATCTTTAGCTGGGCCGGGGTAATAGCCATGAAAACAGGCAGTACACGTATCTGCATCATAGTCGCATTTTGTACAATTGTGTGTACATCGTACCGTACACCGAGCACCTCTATGACCATCAATACAGCCGAGAGTACAATCTGTTGAAGTCCATAGTCCTGGTCCACATTTTCTATCTATACAGCATGCACACTCTACTTTACATTGCTCATTAACCTCTGTAATGGGAAAAATAAAATTATTTCATTTTATTTACACTACCACCACCTTATTGGCTTCATTTTAAACGTTTTGAATTAGAAAAAAAGATAAATATCACATTATTATCTGTTATTAAGCCTTATGTAAATTTAATTACCTCCTTCTACCTTGTTGTTGCTAAAATCTAACCATAAACACCATACAAACAATATCTGAAATATATGTAATGCAACTAATACTAATACAATTACTATTTTTCTAAGCTTACTTAAACAATGAATATTTATAATATATAACGGTATTATTTGAATTTAAACAAGTGCAGATCTTTTAAACATTTACCAAAATTAAAAAGTTCTGCAAATGATTTTACACAAAATTTGAAGCTAGCCATAATGGTTTTTGATTTGACCCTCTTCAATGCGGACAACATTTAATAATAAAATATGGTAAATAGCTTCAACCTATTCTCAACATTTATAACATTTTTTTTCTTTCAGTTTTAACCTTATTCTATTATGTATTACATAATTTTGAATCTTGTAGCATATTTGAACTTATCTACAACTAGCCGGTAAACGTGTAGGAAGTGAAAACATAATTATGACCTTAGTAGGGTTTGTACCTTCGACTTCTCGGTTGAGAGGCAGTCACCTTAACCACTTAGCACACTGTAGTTTATATGTTTTTAACCTTGGTATTTATTATTGTATTTTGCGAATTAAGTATTTGTAATGAAAGGCTTATAAACTAATGAAAGACCTGTGTAATGAAAATATTAACTTGTAAACGTTATTGTTAAAATTTCTAGATTTTTGATATCAGTTTATCATCGGTACAAATGAATAAATAATTTGAAGAAAAAAAAATAATTAAAAATTGTACATCATCAATTTAATTCAATGAAATGAAAACAACAATTTTGATCAAGAAAAATAACCATCAAATTATTGGTATTATGAACTCTAAACGTGTAGGGATAAATGTGATAGGCGATGTTATAGTATGTACATTTCCACAGGAATTATTCCGGTGACATTGAAAATATAATGACAGCATGGTGCACCCATTTAAGACAAAAAGAAATTATATGGGATCAATAATTACAATAATTATATTTATTGTTGCTATATTACAAAAATGTATAATTAATTTTTATCTGACTTTAGCTGACTTGTTTAAGACCTCTTTTCTAAAAATATCATCCGATCATCTGCATGCATTTGTAGATTTATTCAATTCAATTTTGCCGTTTTAGACTTTCTTTATGGATTCTATCACTCTCTAACTTCTTTGTGAAACAACTTCTCACCCTTTTCTTCCATTTAAAGACATAATGATACTACCAGACTTTCTTTGATAAACGCCATCAATACTTTGATTTAAAATTCTTTCTCTAAGCAAAATTTTGGAACTCTTTCCCATGATAACTCTCAAAAATAAATTTCATATCAAATTAATATTAAATAATGTAACATTTTTTACTATTTGTATCGCCAAAATCTGAAACGACATCTAGTTAGAAGTGAATACAATTTAAATAAGTTTACAACTGAATACACGAATCAAAGTATTGTATGCTGTATGATTTTCTTAAGAAATGTCATGTCATGATGAAAACACGTTTTTTTTCATGTAGATAAGGTTTTTAATTTAGCAAAATTACCTTTTAATTATAGTAATTTTCATGTTTGTCTTTTGTCCTTTTGTTACGGGTGATTGAACTGGTTTTGCAAGTTGAGTGATGGTTGATTGATTTTGGTATGCAAGTTATTTTTAAACGATTTGGTTCTGGAATGTAACATTTCTAAATAACTCAGACGACTCCGTGTTTGACTCTCAAAGTGAAAACATCTATATTAGATTACTGTCAGTTATTTCTTTATAGAAAAACTTGCTTGTATTTAATTAATTTATTTTGAAGAATCTATTCTATCAAGCCTGGTATGTAAATATTCATTTATTTGTGAAATTGTTTTTATTGTAATTTGAATTGTTGTATAATATTTTGTATTATGTATTTTGTGAAATGCATTTGTCTCGTTATATATTTGTTTTGTAATGTGGTGTCTTATTGTTGTTTTATTTTTTTTACATGTTTTATTCTTGATAGATTAAAAATATTAACCTCATTGAGTGTTTATCTTATAAACCCCACCACTACAAATTGGCACGAACCAGGCGAGCTGTTTTCTGGTTTTGGCCACCTGAGATCCAATGGCAATAAAAGGACCAGGAAGATCGCAGAGACCATACCGGTGCAACCAAGGCAGCAAAAGAAGAGATCGTCATTCTTTCATCTCATAGGTATACGTCTCACCCCCATCGATTTTGTTTTTCATCAGAGCTCTTTGCGCCACAACAAACAGACTGAGACTGTACATTTGGATTTACTTGCGCAATTTTTTATTTGTGTGACCTATTTCTCGGACAATTTAATAACAATGTAAATTTTGTTATACTTTAACATATAATAAGTAAATTTGTGGTTTAATTCAGTTTCTTTAATTCTTTCATAAAATGGTACTTGTCATTTCGTTTATTTTATGTAAACACCGATAATTTAAATTTGTCACACAATTTTGCGATCTTTCAAATTTCTTAATGTAATTTCGGATAAGCCGTAAATTTCGGATAGTATAATAATCTTTATTCTATTTCTCTATATTTTATATAGATCTTTCTGGTTATACCGCTACTGTTTATTTGTTATGTGTGTGTGAAAATCTTTGTGTTTATATAATTTTTGTGTGTGTAAATACATGTAAATTCTATTTATCTTACTGAATTGATATACACTGATTTACATTTAGCTATCTGGGTCAACACAATAAAATTAATTGTATAGATACACTTAAATAGATGTTTAAGAAAACTTCAGGGTCTTTCAATTATTTTGTTGACATTGAAATAGATATTATATACTTAAGGATCTCTATTACTGTGTTTATTGTTTACATTGTGTATTAAATTCATATTATAATATACACTCTATTTCTTATCTTTCTATCTGTACTTTACAACTTAACTAACAAATTAACACCCAGAACCAATTCGCGAGAAAGTGTTTTTTATTTAAAGTATGTGCTGTCGTGTGATTTATCGGTTTGTTTTGTTGATGCCGTTGGTTTGATTAGTAAGTTATTTGGTTGGACGGCGTAGCAGTGTCAAGTCATCTGGTGGAATAATTAGTAATTGACTGAGGGAATGAATTGTTGTTTTTTGTGTTTTGTTATTGATAAATAAAATTCCTAAGATTTTTCCCCCAAACATTTTAACTTGAACTGCCAATTTTAAGTTTTTTTATGAAAAAAAAAGAGATATTATTAAAGTCCTGGTGGCGTTGCCGTTGACGTCCGCAAACTTGTATGTGTATCATAACCTGTTTAGTTCTTGGTATATTTTCTTCATACTTGACCACAACAACCCTTGGGACAAGACTTTTCAGTAGACTGCACTTACCTTGACCTATATCCATAAATGACCTTGACCTTCAAGGTCAAAAGTCCAGATTTTGCTTGTTCTTGCTATTATTGGTTTAAACTTTGTAATTTTTCAATGGATTGTCTTCAAACTTGAACATAATAATCTTCAAGGATAGCCTTTTAAAATAACCAGACAGACATGGACCTTTATTTATAAATGACATTGAATTTGAAGGTCAGATTATTGATATTTTCATATTTTTGGCTATTATTGGCTTTAACATTGCTATTTGTGAATGGATTATCTTCCAGCTTGAACATAGTAATTTTCAAGGATAACTTTTTAAAATAACCAGAGAGACATTGACCTTAATCATAAATGACCTTGACTTTGAAGGTCAAATTATTGAAACTTTCATTTTTATGGCTATTTTCGGCTACAACTTTATTATTTTTGAATGGATTGTCTTAAAACTTGAACATAAAAATCTTCAAGGATAACCCTTTAAAATAATTAGACAGACCTCGACCTTGACTCATAAATGACCATGACTTTGAAGATCAAATTATTGAATTTTTCATTTTCTTGGCTGTTACTTCTGAAACTTTGCTTTTATTGGATTGATTGACCTAATATTATAAAAGAATATTCTTAAGGTCAATACCTTCATGTTTATCAAACTCAAATTGAACTTGGCACTTTTAATGACATTGACCTTGTAGGCTAAATTATTGAATTTTAACTGATTTGTGCATTAAATGACCATATATATTTATTGGTATTTATGTATAAATGCGCATATATTTTTTTTCTTTGGTATACCTTTAAGTCATCTAAGTACTGGTCATTGTAATTATTATTCTACATTTTTTGTGAATATATCGTAAGTACTAGTTACAACCAGGAAATATTTAAGAGATAAATACTGATATTTACCAGGAATTATTTAAGAGATATCTGCCCAAATATAACTTGTATATTTATTATGTATGTGTGATTATTATCCTGTTTAAGTATTAAAGTGTATTAGTGCCGGTAAACCACATGAATTTG